AATACAGATGACAACTAAACAAGATGGAGATGAAAGCATGGCTAACAGAAAGAGTACAATCATGGATTTAAGACTATTTTAAAGACACATGAAAAAGAGTCACAGTGAGGGATGAAATGTTAAGATAGGTAAGTGTAATAATAGAACAAATGAACAAGCTACAGTATTGGTTTGACTAAGGTTACTAAAGACCAACCCCTGCAAGTGCAACGATGAGACTGGGAGTCAGGTAAAGAAGACCAAAGACAGTGCAAAAATGCAAAGAACCTTGGATAAACATTACACACACAAAAACATCAGTGGTATCTGCTAAGTTGGCAACTAAAAGGATGGCCTTCATAAACCTAAACAAACCTATGTAGGTCATTTATGAAAATGAATGTAATTACTTTTTTTTTAACATGTCGGCCATTTCCCAGTGAGGCAGGGTGACCCAAAAAGTAAGAAAAAAAAAAAAAAAAAAAAAAAACTTTCATCATCATTAAACACTTTCACCATCACTCATACATAATCACTGTCTTTGCAGAGGCACTCAGATATGACAGTTTAGATGTCCCTCCAAACTGCCCATATCCCAAACCCCCTCCTTTCAAGTGCAAGCATTGCACTTCCCACTTCCAGGACTCAAGTCTTTCTAACTGGTTTCCCTGAATCCCTTCACAAAATGTTACCCTGCTCACACTCCAACAGCTCGTCAGGTCCCAAATTACATGTATATTAAAGATATATGAAAAAGGCAAGTTGTAATTCTTGACACCAACTTTTTACATTCAACTGAACGATGTAACTGTCATATCTGCTTCTGAATATATAATCAAGCCTGAGTGCAGAACACACACTGTAAAGTCTGAGAACAATCTAAGGTACTACAGTACCTATATATTGGTGCCAAACCTATGATGCAGAAATTGTAAAGAAAAAATAAAAAGCCAAAGTTCATGTTCCTGGAGAAACATAGAACCAGAGACAACATGATTATGCCATGTATAATACTCGGGGATATGCCATGTAAAATACTCTGGGATATGCCATGTATAATACTCTGGGATAGGACATGAAAAAGACATAAGCAGAACCTTCACCAAGGGCAATATCTGTAAAAATACAAAGGAGAGATAGATGAAGATGAGGACCCAACCAGTCAGATATCTGAAAGTACTTCCCCATAATATGAGTGATAAAGAAGTGGAACAAGTTGAACAATAACACTTTAGAAGCTAAATCCATTAAGTTTAAATGTAAATGTGAAGGATCTAATTAACAACATTCAATGGAAAGTTAAGGAAGGGGTAAGGGAGGTAATATCACAATGTTCAGAATACACAGGAGTACTGACAAGATACATACAACATATGTCAGGCCTATCTTGGAATACACAGCACCAATATGGAACACACACCTGAGAAGCATGTTAAGAAACCAGAGAAAATGCTAAAGTATGCAATGAGACTACTTCCAGAGCTAAGGGGTATGAGATGTGAACAGAGGCTACAGGAATTAAATCTAACAGATCAGGGGGAGAATAGGACCAGGCAAAACATGATAACAACACACAAAATGCTCAAGAGGAAGTGACAGAGGCTGCTTGAGAGGCAGGAAAACAAGTGCTTTGGAATATAGCTGGAAGTTAAAGACACACATAATGTCATCTTCAGCCTCAAGCTAATTGGGAAGTGGAATGACCTTGTTGAAAAAATGGTGGGGGCAGATCCTATACATAAGGCCCACAAGGCTAGGAGTAAGTGACTGGCAAATAGCAAGCTAAGAGAAGGAGTCAAGCGCTACGATTCAAAGCCTTCAATTGCATACAGGTGAGTACAGGCAGACATAAGAGGGACCAAAACACGGGGATATAGTCGAAAGCTACGTAACCAGTTAAGTCATAGGCATATCACAGTGTGATTACCTACACAATAATACTAGAGACAAACCACTTATGAATTCAAAGGCAGATATAATAGTACCCTAGTGGCTAGGAAGTAACTGCATCCATACACCAAAGGTTAGGTTTCAGGGCTCACTCCCCACAAGAACAGCTTGGTGAGTGTAACTTGGTAAAAACACAAACATGAAATTTTTCTACTTAAGATTAAGAAAAAAGTTGACCAATGACACAGTGGCTGCTACTTAAATGAAGGTTCAAATATAAATATGATATAGCTAATTCATGGCAGTCAATCAAAAGTTAAGAGGTGAGCCCAAGAACTGGAGCTCACCCTCAGCAAACTCAAATAGATAAATGTATAATGTGTAAATGGGCACACAAGAAGAGATGGAAAAAAAATTATCCAGTCACTATGTGATAGGTGCATAAGAAATGACAAGCTTTTAATTGTCTAAAATTAAAAACAAAATTGAATAAAAGTAGATACAAATTATAAAGCACTTAAGTTTAATTATTATAAGTAAATAACTATGATATGAAATTATGTAAAAAGTTGCTCTAACAAAAAATATATAAGAATCAGGAAATTAATGAAAAATATTTTAAGGAAAAATACACAACTGTTAAGTTAATCAGGAATGACAAAATAATAACATTCCTATATTACATGCAGGTGAAATGGAAATATTATCATTGAATGTGTTTTCTATACCACATATACATGCAAATGTGATACAAAATATATTTACTACCATGCAAATAAGTATCAGTAAAGAATGCAATGATCTGGCGAAGATGACCTGGCTTGCATGTGCTGCATTCATATGCAAATCCTATGAGGGAGAGAGACAGGGAGACACACACACACACACACACACACACACACACACACACACACACACACACATGTGCATGAATGCACACACAAACTCTCACACACACACACACACACACACACACACACACACACACACACACACACACACACACACACACACACACACACACACACACACACACACACGTGCATGAATGCACACACAAACTCACACACACTCACACACATGCACATGCACACAAACACACACCACACACATACACACTCTTGCATGCACACACACACACACTGTGTGTGTGTGTTTCCCGGCGGGGTGGAAACACTTCGACCTGTTTCCTTACACCTGTTGTCCTGTTCACCTAGCAGCAAACAGGTACCTGAGTGTTAATTGACTGGTGTGGGTCACATCCTGGGGGACAAGATTGAGGACTCCAATGGAAATAAGACAGACAGTCCTCGATGACGCACTGACTTTCTTGGGTTATCCTGGGTGGCTAACCCTCCAGGGTTAAAATCCGAGGAAAATCTTATCTTCTCTTATCTTATCACAGACACAGAAACACACATGCACACACACAAATGCACACACACACACACCACACACACACACACACACACACACACACACACACACACACACGCATGCACGCACACCACACTCACACACACACACACACACACACACATGCACACACACACATGCACACACATACACACACACATACATGCACACACACACATGTACACACACACGAGCATGCACACACGCGCACGCACACACTTTTTTTTTAAGAAACCAGCCATATACCACTAAGGCAGAGTGGCCCCAAAAAGAAATAAACACTTTCACCATCATTCAAATATAATCACTGTCTTTGCAGAGATGCCCAGATACAACAGTTTAGATGCCACTCCAAACAGTCAATATTCCAAACCCCTCCTTTAAAGTGCAGGCACTGTACTTCCCACCTACAGGACTCAAGTCCGGCAAACCAGTTTCCCTGAATCTCTTCACAATATATTCCCTGCTCACACCCAACAGCTCATCAGGTCCCAAAAACCATTTGTCTCCATTCACTCCTATCTAATATGCTCACACATGCCTGCTGCATGTCCATGCCCTTCACACACAAAGCCTCTTTTACCCCCTCCCCTTCCTTTCCTAGGATGACTTGAACCCCACACCAGTAGTATCCCACCAAGGCAGGGTGACCCAAAAAAGGAAAAACACTTTCACCATCATGCTCTATTATTAGCAATGATTAAACATTCATACAAATACTTCTTGCGAGTTTATTTATAATGAAAATTTGCTAAAAGGCAAGGTATGCAACAGCAGCAGTAGTAGACATGTTATTATTGGTTCTTACTATGGTTCTTGTTTAAAACCTTGTAAATTATTATTAAGAAATTTTCACAGGTTTTAATTAGTGATGATGATGATGATAATAATAAATTAACAGCAACTCAAGTTTTTATACAGTAAGATGGCCAGTAGATAACAAACTATAGTTGAAAGAAAGACAGTGTACAGTATTATGTAGTGTGAAGTTACTGTGAAGAATACGATTTGAAATAGATAAAAGAATTACCTAAGACAGTATACATCAATAAACACTTACAGAAAATAACAAGTTAGAACTTGCCGGCATAATACAGATGCAGATGAGATAAGCTGTAAGCAGTGTTACAAGTAGCTTTACAAAGGATACTCTGATCTAAACACAAGCAATAGCTAGTTGTGCAACTGGAAAGACTGAAGGAATATATGAAAAATATTAAAATTACATCTTGTGTGGATTCCTTTCTATGATAATATAATTACTCAGAGTAATAATCAAAGTTTTTTAAAAATACATAAAATTTTAAGTCAAACTGAAGGGTTGTGACTCTCTTGGAATCAAACTAAGGGCTTTTATTAAATGCGAAGATTTACATTTGAATGATTTGATGGGTGGTAGCATTATATATATTTTACACTAAAGGTAAAGTACCACTATGCCAAAAATATGTTCATAACACATGGTATTATAGTAACATTTAACACATGTTCTCTTTGGCAAAAATATTTTAAGCAAAATTTGTTACGTTCAGGGCACCTTTTCAAAGATGGAATTATAATAAACCTTCTTTGGCAGTATAAAAGTGTCAAGCTACTGCAGAACCAACTAATAGTAATACTGCACAACAACAAGGACAGGCATGAGGTCAACCTCCGTGACAAACACCACAACATTCTGCCCAGTCATTCATTCAGTACAACATGCTGGTGCCTACCCATCTCGCAAGTCTTGTTGGGTCAGTCCAAAAAGGTCAGCAGGCCAGCTTTAGGGTAGAATGTGAAATGTTGTAATATAACATTATAGCATGAAAGCACAAGAGGTATCTATATATTTTACTAAAATTATATTGTTACCTTCCCACATTTAAAGCAGGATGGTTCAAAAAAGATTTTCTAAAAATTCTATCAATTATCACCAATATTAGTACTAAAAAAAATAAGTACCATTCAAAGCCATGTTGACTCGGCTATTAAGTGGCAGGAACACAAAACATATCTATTAAACCAAAGTCTTCTCCCACATTTAAAGCAGGGTGGAAAATCAAAATCATTCCTAAATCTTTTACTTACCTGCCACCATTACATTTTTCATTGTTAAAGACCCATAAGTATATTTAAACATTTATTAAAAAATTTGACATGCTTTTTCAACTTTTATTTCAAGTGCAGCAGTTGCCATCTGGTACAACTACGAAATATATATGAGAATATATCAAAAATGTCACAGCAGGTACATAGAATGTTGGAAGTAACAGTGGGTGAAGGGATTAGAATACACATGTAGTGTAAGCAATGCAAGAAGAAAAAATAAGTGCTAATTTTTGAAACAATGAAGTGTGTCAAGCAGTACCTGATACTCTAAGTGTAACTACCATATATCCAAGAGAAAATACCATCTATGTACTAAAAATAAAATAAGACAACTCTTTGGATGTAACATTTCCATAACAAACCAAAGTTAACTGCTACATAATAATGCAGTAATAAATATTATACAACATTAATAAACCAAAAAGTTAATTTTTAAATGAAGAGAAAGTGTCAGCTAAAATACCACAATAACAGATTATTCCACAGATATAGCTAAGAAACAAAGATTGCTGTAGTCATGAATTCCAAGATGAAAGTAAAGCAAAACACCTCAAGTGTTCCTGAATTTCATTATTGAATATGTAAAACAAATATTTGTATGTGAAGCCAAACAATGTTTTAGGTAAAGAGTACTAAGTAATTATGTTTGTACCAATCCATGCTAACATCACAATGTTCAGAATGTGCAGAAAATTAAGACAGGGTAATGGTATGAAAGGGTTAATAAATGATTATTTAATATAACAGTATATTAGAATGAAATCAGATATCTGTTTATTTGCAATCCTAGGTAATATCAGGCCCAGTGAAAGGTTACATCAATGAACTACCTGAGAGGAAGGGTCTTTTAGGAATAACAATAAGAGAAGCTTGCTGGTGATTAAAAAATGTGGAGTCATCTGAAGAACGAAGCACCAAAGAATCTAACGCTCACAAATTAATGATAAAGAGAGAGTTCACAAAGCAAACCTTTATTCTGATGACATTTCACCCAGTGCTAAGCCTCATTAACAATGTTCAGTTTTATCAACGGTGAATGAAGCGTAGTCAGGATAAAGACTTACTCCAAAAAATTCCTCTCTCAACTATACATGTCAGCACCATTTGCCAGACAAACCACACTTACAACTTAATTCTGATATATCTTAAGTCAACTACTAACCAAAACAACAATATGAGAGTGGAGACAAAAAAAAAAAAAAATGCAAGATGGGAAGAGGCTGCCAGAAAGCTCTCTATGTAAGGCAACAGATCAGTTGTTAAATGTGAAAAATATTACAAAATTGTAATACCAGTGTTGTACTTGCTTCAACTCTAATGCCCTGATATGAAGGAGAAAAAGTAACAAACTAAGTAAGAGAAATTAGTAACTCTTTAAAACAAAAGCAAGAAAAAAATGCAAGAATAGAGATTTATGATATATAAGATAGGCAAATAGAGTGACTGAGTACAAAGGTAACACTAAAGTACCACGTACAAACACAAATAACAAAGCATACATACACTTGCCACATCATCACCTCAAGCATTGTAATACTGATCAACCTGACAAGATAAATACCCAGCATTTATATTCTGCTAATGCAATACTCTAACAATTATTAGTCTTGTTCTTTGTAATCCATAACTTAGGTTGCTAAATCTGCTTAATCCTCACACTTCTTTTCAAGGTAATCCCATCCACTGGTGCTAATCAATGATAATTTTTAAATATTTTTCTAACAATTTTATTTAAAAAAATTATATATCAGTATGATATCAAGGATTGCTTCCCAGAACATAATATGATTTAATATTACAGTATCATGTGTGTGTATGTATCAATAACAACACTGTGATTAGCTGAGGATTCGAACCTGTGTTGTTTTAGCCTACCTCATGGTGAGCGAAAATTCCGAGGACCATACAATCCTACAAAAATCACACACCCAACAGAGCTAGGTGTTGTACCGTTATCCGAGGACAAACGATGGTGTGGGTGCTTCAGAGCTAATTTCATCCTTCTGCATGAGGAGTATGTAAAGTACAGTATGTATGTATGTTTGCATGTATATGTACATATGTGTGTGTATTATAAGGAGTAGGTAGTTTAACAGAAACCACCCAGGGAGATACTACTGTCCTGCCAAATGAGTGTGAAATGGAAGCCTGTAATTGTTTTACACAATGGTAGGATTACTGGTGTCTACTTTGTCTCATAACCACACAAGACAACAGGTACACTATGCATGCACGTACAAGTGTATGTATGTATACACACCCATCTGAGTTTTTATATTTTCTTAATAGTTCTTGTTATTATTTACTTTTATCTCCATGGGAAAGTGAAAAAGAATCCTTCCACCATGAGCCATATGTGTCATAAAAGGCAACCAAAATACAAAGGCCAGGGAGGTATAATATCCTTCAAGAGTGAGGAAGAGCCAGATGTGAGAGTAGTAGAGGTTCATGAGGTAGTGGATTAAATGAAACGGCATAAGGCAGCTGGGACTGATGAGATCATGACAGAAATTTTAAATGTGGGTGAGGATATAGTTATAAAATGGTTGGTACTTTTGTTAAATATATGTATGAAAGAGGGGAAGGTACCTAGGGATTAGTAGAAAGCATGCGTAGTTCCTTTGCATAGAGAAAAGGGGGACAAAAGTGTAAAAATTAAAGGGAATAAGCCTGTTGAGTATACCAGGTATATGGCATACTGAGTATATTGTAGAGTTATTTGTGAAAGAATTAAGGGCAAGATAAAGAGTAGGATTGGAGATAAACAAGAAGGCTTTAGGTAGTGTAAGGAATGTGTATGCTAAATGTTTACAGTGACACTGAAACATTTAAGTGAATAATATTTAGAAAAAATTAAGGAAGTTTTTGTTGCATTCAAAGATTTATAAAAGGTGTATGATAAAGTGGATAAAAGAGCAATGTGGCAGAAGTTTCAAATGAATGGAAGAGGTGGTAGGTTATTGAAAGCAGGTAAGAGTTTTTATGAGGACAATGAGGCTCATGTTAGGGTATGTAGCAGAGAGGGAGATTATTTTCCTGTAAAAGGAGGCCTTAGACAGAGATGCATGATGTCATTGTGGTTGTTTAACATATTTACAGAGGGGGGTGCAAAAAAGTGAATGCTAAGGTGGTGGGGGGAGGTGAAAGATTAAAATATGCAGAATCTAATGCAAAATGAGAGTTATCACAGTTGCCTTTTGGTATAACTGTGCTTTTGGAAGACTCTGAAGAAAAGTTACAAAGGTTAGTGGACAAATTCAGGAGGGTATGCAAAAGAAGGAAATTTAATGCGAATACAGGAAAGGGCAAGGTGATGATGGTGACAAATGATTTAGGTAATGAAAGACTGAATATTAGATTGAAAGCAGGGAGTATGGAGGAAGTGAATGTGTTCAGATACAGTATTTAGAAGTTTTCTTCTATTTTCTTAAATAATTCTAGTTCTTATTTATTTCCTTTCATCTCCATGGGAAAGTGGAAAAGAATCCTTCCTCTGTAAGCCATGTGTGTCGTAAGTGGTGACTAAAATGCTGGGAGCAAGTGGCTAGTAACCCCTTCTGCATAAATTACTAAATGTAATAAGAAGAAAAACTTTGGTTTCCTTATCTTCAGGTTACCCTGCCTCATTGGGATATGGCCAGTATGTTGAAAAAAAAATTAAATATACATACTTCTTCCTGTTCTTTCAACAAACTGGCCATATCCCAACAAGGCAGGGTGACCCAAAAAGAAAAACGAAAATAAATATACATACATACATAAAATACATATTGGCATATACCTTATTTGCTGTTGTTCTTCAAGTTGATTCATGAATTCTTTGCGTGCCTTTTCAGCCTCTTCTTCTGCTTCTAGCCTCCGAAGAATGGCTTCCGCTTCTATTTCTAGGGCATCTCGGCCATCTCTACTGAGCAAAGTAAATGCTTCAATAATACAAATGTAGTTTTATAAAATAGGAAAAAAGTTACTTGAAATTTAATTTTCACATCAAAATTTTTATTAAACACACACCTCAAAACAACCTTTATAGGGATTACTTAAGCCTAAAAGAAAATCATGCTAAAGCAATTATCATCTTAAGATGCAGTGACCTTTTGCAGCAGGATATGCCATAAATATGCTTCTGTTCAAACATTAGTATATGGAAAACTTGGGATAGTCTAGGTTAGGATATGTTAGGTAAGGATAAGTTAGGTTAGGATATGTTTGGTTATAATAGGTTAGGGCACGTTTGATTATATTAGGTTAGGACAGGTTTAACTGGATTAGATTTGGATAAGTTTAGCTATGTTATGTTTAGTTTCATCAGGTTAGGATAGGCTTAGGTGCATAAGGTTAGGACAGGTTTAGTTAGGAGAAATAAAACTAGATTAGAAATAAATTCAGTTGCATTAAATTAGGAAGAGGTCATAATGATATAGAAATGCACATGAAAAAATGAGACACAGTAGAAAAAAAATTTGGGGGAAAGAGACATAACAAAGAAAGAAACAATGAATTACAAGAAAATACAACAGGGAATACATAAACAGGTGGCAATGCAACACAGCAAATCAGTAAATCACACACCAAGGCCTATCAATGGTAAAATATACTGATAAGTATATGAATAAGACACAAAATGCAGCCAATGGATTTATTGAGATGACATTGAAATGCCATACAGTAACTACCTCAGCCTGCATATTGTGTGTTATTCACACACGTCAATGCCAAACATGCATCAGCCCACATTATGAGTACTGGAGAGACTAGGAATATGTACACACAGAGCCAGACTACAGGATGATACAACACTAGAGGGATCACATCCCAAATGGTATATCCTCTTTAGGGATTAAACACAACTGAAGTAAAGAAGTTAACTATGTAAGTGGGTTCCTCACGTAAGCAAATGCACTGTTCGGAGCATTTACAGAAACATTTACAAGGGATGTTTTGAATGAGGAGATAAGGGTGAAAAACTACAATGTTTATAGATGTGACAGTGTGAACAGGTTACAGGGAGAAGTAGGTCTCTATGTGAAAACCGCATCATGTTTCATGGAACTGTTGAAATTGATATATGATACAGTAGAAGTACTGGGTATTAAAGTGGAGATCAAGAATCTAGTGATTATCATTATATATAAACCACCATCAGCAATGCCTGAGTTCATGAAACAAATAAGGAAAATAGATAGATCCCTTGAAAACCTTGAAAATCCTACCCCAAATAATATCCTACGAGATTTCTATCACCCAAAACTGAAATGAAAAATGGTGTATCACGTCCAAACTGAAATGAAAAATGGTGTATCACGTCCAAACTGAAATGAAAAATGGTGTATCACAACATTGCACTAGAAATAGTTCCTGGAAGTGCACTAGTTCAACAGATACATACTAGAAAGCTAATGGGGCTTTGTGAAAAGTTTGCCTTGAAGCAACAGATTACAGAACTCACTAGAACTGAAAATATACTGGACTTGATCTTCATGAACAATGAAGATATAATCAGAAACATGATAACTACAAATAAAAGATATTCTGATTACATCACAGACACACAAACAAGTATAAATGAAGCAATGGAAAACTTCAGAAATAGTATTCGAGAAGGTATGTTCAGTGTATTTAACTTCAATAATCAGAGAATCGATTAGGACAAAATAAGTAAAGAAGTATCAGACATACCCTAGGAAACAGTCATGAGCACTCTAAACCCTCACCAGTGCTTGGAAAAGATGAATACAGAAGCATACAAGGTCTGTGCAAAATACTGTATATATTGCTCAGAAAGCCTAAAAGATCAAATAAAGGGAGCATAAAAGAATGACAAAGAAAAAGGGGTTACCGAACTTCTTAAAAAGGTGTATACATCAAAATGAATGAAAGATAGCCTTAGCTGAGAAATTATTGAGTTACAACAAAAACTTAACCTTTCATATCAGAAGGGAGACAGACAAAGGGAACAAAAAGCTGTCAAGGATAGTGCTAGAAACCATAAATATTCTATACATATGCAAAATCCAAAATATAGAATTGTGCCAGGAGATTCATACATTGATGATGAAAAAGAAATGGGCAAAATTCAAAAAGACTAATAAAAATCAATATTTAGCAACCTGTTAAACAAAAGTAGGGTGGACAATGCAAAAAAATTTCTCATTATCCTAAAGGTCACACATATCACGTAACTTTCATAAATACAAATCCTCCAGTACTCAAAAAGGAAAGAGAAAACATGCCCACTCATGCAGCACCTGGACCAAATTCAAATAATTTTGTATCGATAAAGAAGTACAAAATATCACTAACATGAGCACTCAATATTCTTTGGAGGAAGAGTTTAGATGTAGATGAAATCCCAGAGACCTTAAAGAGTGCATTAATAGCTCTTGCACATAAAGAGGGTAGTAGAGCACTATTATGAAACAATCATAAGTCTTTGAAAGAGTGATGAAACATCAAATTACAAACTTTATAGACCAACATAACCTAAACAACATGAACCAGTATTTTTCAGTGTTGACGGCTCCTTTCAGAGCACAAAAGATATCAGAGCTGGAACAGATACAGAGATCATTTATAGACTGCATAGAGCCAATAAAGTTTTTAAATTACTGGAAATACCTTAAAGTCCTAAATGCATACTTGTTGAAGTGGAGGAGAGAGGGATACATATTATTATGATCAAAAAGAAGTGCTAAGCCACAAGGGCTATACAGCAGAGGGATACATAATGATATACATGAGGAAGGTACTTGAGGGCCTGGTTCCAAATCTGCACACAGTCATGGGTACACTAAGAGAACAGCTTTTCAACATCTGTAGCCCCAGACTGTTTAATATTCTATCATAAGATATCAGAAACAATGCCAAAACAAGTGTCAGATCAATCTGGCTGTGATGGATATGTGGGTCAGCAGGCTGCCAGCAGTAACAGCCTGGTTGTCCAGGCAAGCATCAGACAAGCCCAACCCACGGCCAGAATACACAAGTAGGAAAAGTCTCTAAACTCTTCACAGGTATATCAATGACAAAGGTAGGATAAGTTTAAAGTTACGTTTAAAAGTAGGATAGATTTGATTACATTAGGCTTAGGCTAGGACTGATTTAGTTGTAGTTAAATTAGTATAATTTTAATTATTATACAGTAGGTTAATTTAGAAAAAGTTATATTATGTTAAGATTTTCTTTAATTTATATACGAAGTAATTAAATATCGTACATCAGTTAGATCAGTTTCACAATACATAAAGCTCACTATGAACGAAATCTCATAAGCAAAAAGAGGCCCTTTATTTAGCAAACGTCGGAGATGAAATCAGTAACACAAAGATTTATTTATGTGCACAAAATTCAAGAGAAAGAAGCTCACATTCAAGTTAAATATTCTTGACACCTACTTCAAAGTAATACTGTATTTAGTTAGGTATCATGAGATCACTACTAATTCATATTCAAATTCTTGACCCATGTAGGATACAAAAAAAATGCAATAGGAACATTCAACATATGCAAAGTACATGCAGAGTATTTTTTTTTCCTTTCCCTTATTGTGCACTTAAAAGTTCTGCAAACCATGGTGTGAGGCCTATCTTGAGAAAGTTTTTCAAGTACAGCTACCTCTATTAAACTCCAAATGTATTTGTTTTAAACTTAAACAAAAAGAATCATGACAGTATTAATACTAACACTGAATACAGCCTCTATCTACTGTACATACAGTATGTGATTAAGACCAGAATTTAAATAATATGAAATTTTTATGGAAAGTGGCATCAAGAAAAAACCTTATAAATCTAGTAAGGAATTCTGAAAACAAATATTAGCAGTGGGCCTTAATGGAACCTAAATTTAGAGAGAAAACATTTTTATGGACAAATGAATAAAAGATGTTCAGACCTCATACATACTTTTCATACTTCCATCCACACTCATTAGCATCACTATACGCTAGTACCACCATCGCACAGCACAACACTCACACCTTGAGTCTAACAAGGTCATTAACTAGATGCAACATCCTTCATCTGAACAACCACAAAAAAAGAAAAATCAATCATATACAGTACACCAAAAATTTATAAATCTAAATTCTCCAAAATTCTATTTAATCAATTACCAAAATTTCAATGTGTTTAGAGATAATCAGCTATGGTTTTCTGGCACACAATATTTATTTTTTTTGTTTTGTTTTTTCAAAAAATGTCTTAGAGTAATTCTTCTTCTTTCAACAAACTGGCTGCATCCCACCGAGGCGGGGTGGCCCAAAAAGAAAAACTAAAGTTTCTCTTTTTAAATTTAGTAATTTATACAGAAGAAGTGGTTACTAGCTCCTTGCTGTGTTAGAGTAATTATCTATTTAAATTTGTGAGGGTTGAACTTTTAACTCTTGAATCTAACTTTTGACTAAGTGATGCAAACTTATTTAACTTCAGCTTCATTGTTGCCCCTCTCTATCTTACTGCACTGCACATGCAACTGTAGATTAGTTGCATGTGCAGTGTGGCCTCCATACTCTGTATGGAGTGATCATATCCCTTCTTCATTCTTCGAGATAAAGAATATCTTCTTCTCACCTTCTTTCTTCACAGCTCGTATCTCTTTGCTAAAGTACCTCTTTAAATATGCTGCTTTTTTTTTCTTGGTTTTGCTCTCTGATTGAATAGCTTTTGTGGCACATATTAGTTACTGTTAGTATTTTTATTATTATATTTTTTATTTTATTAACACACTGGCCAAGTCCCACCAAGGCAGGGTGGCCCGAAAAAGAAAAACTTTCACTATCATTCACTCCATCACTGTCTTGCCAGAAAGGTGCTTTACACTACAGTTTTTAAACTGCAACATTAACACCCCTCCTTCAGAGTGCAGGCACTGTACTTCCCATCTCCAGGGCTCAAGTCCGGCCTGCCGGTT